AATAGTGCATAAAATATATAAATGCTTATGGGTTAAATTAATTATAAAAACATAGAACATCATTATCTTATAGTCTTGTTGTTATTCTTGTGAATTTCTTCGTCCCTTTTTATCGGAGCGGGTAGCAATCTTCACACCTTGACTGCTGAAGGATCGAGACAATGAAGTGGTTTCTGAACAATGATTTTAAGATTGGAGAACAATGACCACATAGTGAACATATTTAATAGTGCTTATTCTAAATTATAAACATATATTGCCTTTTTAAAATCCAAAAAGACCACTATTTTGTTAGATTCAAATTTAAATTGAATCCACAAGATAAAACTTGTGTATTTAATTTAAAACTAAACAAAAACAGTAGTTTTTTGTATTAAAAATAGAGGCAAAGTATAAAACATAAAAATTTTAAGATAATTATACCTATCATTCCAGGAAATTTCTTTGCAGAGTATGCGACAAAAGGGTCTGATTCTATGGATGCTAGCACGTTCGTTGGATGAAGGCCTGTATTCACCACACCTTGGCTTTTATAAGAATGTGATCAGATTTTATTTACGTCATAAAATCAAAATTAATGATTTTGCGCACGCATTTATTCATAAACCAAATCCGAATATTAGGATGCATTATACATGTCACTTCGGAAAAAAGAAAATTTCCGTAAACATTATTAAATGCGCATGATTCATACACAACCAACAAATAATAATATATATATATAAATCAAAGTAAAATTTTCTTACAATCCAAGGTATATAAGATCAAATACAAAATAAAAATCACCGTCGGTTCGAATGCTGAGGTCTTGGTATACAAAAAAAATACCCAATCTTCCTTCGTGATCCTTCAGCTTTCTTCCACTGGCAATTAAATTTCCGAGTAGGTTTCTTGTATTAGTCTGACTTTTGAAACCAAGTTGTGATGTTGGGTGCTTAACCAATGACGCATTTTCACGTGTTCCGCGTTTATAGGGAGTTGCTTGTAGAACAAAAAAATTATATTCGATATCTCTAGAAAAATTAAAATGCAGTAAAATAATTGAAATGATATAGTTTTATCGAGGGTTATTACATATAAATTGACATACTCTATATCCACTGGTTTTCCGGCTTCATCACTAACTAATAGTTGAACTATTGGTAGAGGTGATAATGAACGTCGATCCTGCAAACATAAGAAAAATTTAACATTTAAAACTTGTATTGCACTTGTTTTTAAATCACAAAAGACTATTACTCTGCCAACTTCAACCCAAATTCAGAAATATTTATTCTTTAAAAATAAGAATGAATTTGTGGATTCAATTTAAATTTGAAAATAAACTAGCAGAATAGCAATCCTCTAAAATAAGAATGAATTTGTGGATTCAATTTAAATTTGAAAATAAACTAGCAGAATAGCAATCCTTTAAAATAAGAATGAATTTGTGGATTCAATTTAAATTTGAAGATAAACTAGCAGAATAGCAATCCTTTAAAAAAATTTTTTTTAAATAAATAATGAATTAAAGTTAGCAGATTATTTACCTTTTCACCGAAACCACACATACGAGCTCTTTCTGACTTTTGCACTATACATAGATTATACTTCCAGTTCGGGATGCTGCATAAACAAATTATATACTATACTTAGTCTATATGTATAGAATAGGAGTGAGAATAAAAATGCAATGGCTCAATATTCACCCCGTTTGTGTTGGAGCAAGAGTAGATTGTATCATCTCTCTTGTCGCATATTGCATTTCCTGACGAACATAATCCTGAGCCCTTGGTCTTGGGAAAGATTGTGTGGACGGGCCATGTTCAAAATTCGCATTATTTTGATCCATCAGATTTCGATATGTATGGTCGGGGAGGTTTGTTGCAAGCGGATAGTTTTCCATAAACGATGTAGAATTGAGAAATGATTGTACGAAACAAGTACCGGCGACGTACTTTGGAAAACTAATACAAAATTTTAAGTTTTTTACGAGAAAATCCTTTGTTTAATTAAAACTACCGCTTCAGATATGCCTTACCAATTGCCAAAGAGGATCAAAATATAACAACTGAAGGGCCCTAAGCACTAGCTTTCAGTTTTTATATAAAAAAAAAAATAGGTTTTTTTTTTTTTTTTTTTTATATCTCTATGAGGCTTTAATAATATAATATATACATGACCCATGAAAATCAATTATTATAATTTACTTTTGACAAATATAAATAATAATTCATTTATTTTAGGTTTAATTTATAAGTTTGTGTCGGAATTGTGAAATCGTATAACAGAAGAACAAAATAAGACACGGCAAAATAATCCAATATTTTGTGACATTATTGTTCTGTTTTTAACAACAGTTTACAGTAAAAAAAGCTTTTAACCAATAGTTCGGAAATTGGAAAGGTTCGATGGAAATTAGAATACTTACTATATTTTGGAAACCTATCAACTATTAAAAGATATCTAATAACTTTAATTAAAAATATATATCAACTTTAAAATGATTGCCTAACCATATTTACTATGAATTCTTTAAGGGCACACGGATGCCAAACAAATATAATCAGAGTGTAGTACTTTTATTTATTATGATAAATACGATA